CCAGATCTCCCATGTGGGTGCAGGGGCCCAGAGACTTGGGCAGCATTCTACTGCTTTACCAGGCCATATTGGAGAGCTGGATCAGAAGTGGAGCAGCTGAGACTACAACAGGCACTCATATGGGATGCCAGCACTGCAGGGGGTGGCTTTACCCGCTGCACCCCAGTGCCAGCCCATTTTTCCTTAAAAATATTTTGTTCAGAAGTCTGAATGATAGCGTGTGAGGGGGCAGTCTTAAATGTGCAGTTACGCTTGCCCAGTGGGACGCTGATTTTGCAGCAGAAGGAAGCAGCCCAACATGCCATCTGGGCAGGCAGAGGCCCTCCTTAATCTTATTTGTCAGAATCTTTCCTGCAAGCTTTTCCCTTTTCTTGGGGGAATCTCCCTGTGCTCTTTGCAAACTGCTATGAATGAATTAAGTGCTGAGCCTTGAGCCTACTGCTGAGTGTAGAGTACATTGGATTGTGATGCTGAGATAGCCCAGCATTTGGGGAGTGACCCGACAGCAGCAAGATTCATTCTCTCTCTCCCCCCCACCAGCCCGTGTAAATAAATCTTAAAGAAATTTAAAACTCTTTTCTTTTTTGAGATGGACACTGTGCAGTGAGTGAAGCTACCTCTTGTGTGGTGAGGATCTTGTTCCCGTGTGGTGTCTGGAGGCCCCGGGTGCCTGACTTACAGGCATGGCACCAGAAAACATGAAAACTTGTTCCCAGCTGAACTTCCCCTGTACTAGTCCTTTCTGGACAATTCCATATGAGAAGCAGGTGCCTTGTAGATATAGGAGGCAGACGGTAGGAGTTTTCTCTGATTCACAGCTGCATGCAATCTTTAAACAGTAAACTCTCATGTCTGTAGAAATCTACATTTTTTGGCAAACACAAGGTTCCATTCATATTTCTTAGGAAAATATCAATATTTTTGTAGATTCTGTATGCTTGAATTGTTTTTCTTTTGTGTACTGAAAAAGGACATTTTAAATTATCTCAGTACAATTCAGGATTGTTAAGTCAGTTGTATAACTTCATTTTTTTAAAACACATTCTAAGGACATTTTGTGTGTTTTAGAATTTGTTATGTGAATTAAAATTTTTTATTTGAAAGCAGAGAAGCACAAAGACAAAAAAAAAACATATTTAAATGTTAAACAATTTTCGCACTAAAATTACCTACTCATTCACAAGAAAAGGGGACATATTGGCTGTGGCCATGCATACCGGCCGCAGCACAGTGGAAGCTGAACTCGCTTGGTCTGCTGACATTTCCATGGGTCAGCCACCTTGGAAATCGCATGCCAGAGGGGCCTCGGGCTTCCAGGGATTCTGGGAGGCATCCGGGAAGCCACCTTTGCTCTGGGATTGGAAGTTGCTGGGAAGTGCGGTGAGTGGCAGGGTGTCCCTCACCAGGCTCTTGCTGCTTAAATCTGGCATTTTCCAAAGAAATCGCTGCTCAGGGGCCAGCTATCAGCAGAGCCACACCGAGCATGCGGGCCATCCTAGCTGCCCACTCGATCTCCCAGGCCACAGAGAGCGCCCTATGGTTTGACCTCAAGGTCCTGGAGCCAGAGCAGCTGAGGTCGGTAACACACATGGCTGTCACAGGCGTGCTTCCTGCGTGAGCCCACTCCCCATGGAAGCCTGCCCCTCACTGTTCACCCCTCTGCTAATCCCAATCTGTGCCCATTCATGGTGGCCCTGATAAAACTGAGCTGCTGAGCTGGGTCCTGTCGACCCTCCAGGCGAATCCCTGAGCCTGAGGATGCTTCTGGCGACTTCTGTCCTGGGAAGCCAGGCAGTTGTGTGCTTGGGAATTTGTACAGCTCTGGTCTGGAAGCCAGAAAGGATGGACTTGGCCTAGAAGTCATTTATGAAGCAGCAGACTCAGTTTTATGGGCTTGGGGACTGCTTCAGCTTTCTCTGTGGTTCACCTAATTCTCATTCTGGGTGAGGACAGTGTTCGTGCACTCTATATAACCAGCTCAATATTTCGTTTTTACTTTTTAATATTTATTTGAAAGGCAGAGTTACAACTGGGAGAGGGAGGGGGAGAGGGAGGGAGGGAAGGAAAGAGAGAGGGGGAGGGAGAGAGGGAGAGAAAGAATATGAGTGAATATGAATGGGAGAGAGAGGTCTTCCACCCAAGTGGCTCCAGCAGCCAGGGTTGTGTCAGGCTGGAGCCAGAAGACAGGACTCCATCCGTGGCTCCCACAGGGGCGGCAGGGGCCCAGGCACTGGGCCACCCTCTGCTGCCTTCCCCAGGAGTAGCAGCAGAGAGTGGAATCAGAAGTGGAGCAGCCAGGACCCTGAACGGTGCCCATGTAGATGAGGGTCACAGGCAGCGACTGAACCACTGCCCCCTCTTTGACTGACTGTATCTGTAATTGTTTTAACTGTTTCCCATAAATTAATTCAGTTAGCATGTACACATTTGGTTACACCTCCAAAACTATAATTCATAGGTGTTATAAAGAAATCTTTAGTGAGTTCACTCAAACCCACAGGTTACAAAGCCAGCAAGTGCAGAGACAGGATCAAGGCTGGCAACAAGCCCAGTCTTTGGATCTCTCTCCTATACCAGGCCCTGTATGCTCAACATCCAAAATCCTGCTCCTGGTTCCTCAGGGCTGGGGGGGGGGGGGGCTGGTGGGAAACCTTACCCATGCCCTTGCAGTTCTGCTGCTTGAGTGTTTGCAAGAAAATGAAGAGATTTTAGTGTAAAAAGTGGGTTCAGTCTACAAGACAAGGGACTTGTAGGAAAAGAACCCCTGCCCCAAGGCTGTGGGGAAGGCGAAGGGGCAGGGGAAAGTGAGGAGGGCGAGGGGGAAGGGGAGGGGGCTGTGGAAATTGGGGGCTGTGGGGGAGGCGAAGGGGCCATGGGGAAGGGGAGGGGTGGGGCAAGGAAAGGGGCCATGGGGAAGGGGAGGGGATGTGGGGAAGGGAGGGGGCATGGGGAAGGCGCGGGGCTGTGAGGAAGGGGAGTGGGCGTGGGGAAGGCCCGGTGGTGTGGGCTGTGTTTCCTGTGGAGACGGAGGCCGCAGCACCCACCCCACATGGCTGTGTCCTGACAGGTCAGGTGAGCACATTCAGGGACGGCCCGAGGGTCTTCCTGGGAGTGCGGGAGGGTCAACCGGGCAGGGATTCCGAGTAGAAGGAAAATCCTCAGGGCTCCTTTTACTTTGCGTCACGTGATGTCTTCTGTCACACGTGATGCTCCTGTCACCGGAGTCCCGCCGCCTGCCTGGGCCGCAGTGTGGCCGGTGACAGGCGTCGGAATGGACGGGTCAGCCTGCTGTCGGCTATTCCAACCTGCGACGCATGGCCCGGCAAACCCTGTGCCTGCTGCAGAGCAGCTGAGCGAGGCCCGGGAGCGCTCGGGACCCAGCGGTGGAGGAACTGCGGGCAGGATGGAGGTGCGCGCCCGGTGGGGCGGATCTGAGAGGCAGAAGGCGGGAGCGCCGGCTGTCGTTCACTCCCCACCGCTCCCCACCGCTGCGGGGGCTCAGGCTCAGCCAGGCGTCGACCCCCGAGCCCCCAGGTCCACAGCAGCAGAAGGCGGGACCGGCCTCTGACAGGGACCCCGGCCGCCCAGCGGGGTCGTCAACGCGGGCGCCAAGGCCTCCCCGGGAATAGGTCCCTGTGCCTGCAGATTAGTACTCGGTGTTCTCAAACATGGAGAATCCCAGGGCTCCTTACAGGAAGCAGGATTCCCTTGGCACAGCCTGTTTCTGAGTTCCTGCTTGCCCAGTGCCCGTGAGGACAAGGAGGAAGGCGAAGCCAAGTCCGTGTCTATTTCGTCCAGTGTCAGCGTCTTCATCAATTCATGACGATTCTCCCCTCCCCTTCTCGACCCTGCAAACCCGGCGAAGCACAGGGGCAAAGCCTCACCAAGCTCACGGCGACAGTGACAACTACAATGACATTTCGGTTCTGACTGTCGGGTGTTTCACGATCTCGCCGAGCCCTGAAGCCAGGGAGCATTCCAGATGTCACTGAGGGCCACGTACACTTGTCCGTCCTTACACACACGGCGCCCGCTGTTCCAGGTGCGCCCCAGTGGCTCCAGTGTCCGCCTCCACCTGCGTGGCCTTCTGGAAAACGCTGAGGTCTCGGGGTGGAGGGGACTTGGGGGACAGCGCAGCGCCGGCCCAGGCCAGTCGGGATCACCGTCGGCACCCACGTCCCCGTGTGCGTTTCTGGAAACGTGGAGATTCCCGCCCCCAAGACTGCAGGGTTCTGCGGGCTCACCCGGACACCGGTGGTCAGGGGCCCGGCCCTCAGCACCGGGGCAGCCCTAGAGAGCGGGTGCGGGCGGCATGGCGGGTCACGCGCTCTCAGACCCGCGTCCAGCAGGCGGGAGAAGCCCTGGGTCTCTGGTCGGGGCGCAGTCTGACCCGGGATGCCCTGGTCTCCATCCCCACACCAAACACGGGCCCAGAGGTCCCCACAGGACGCGGCACCCAGCGCTCAGGTCGGAGCTCAGCGGGGAGCCCGAGAGGGGAGCGCTGTGTGCTGGACCCCAGGGCAGGCCGGGAGGACGCCCGCTCCCCCCATCAGATCCTGGGTTCCATCCCCAGCTCTGCTCCGGACTCCAGCTGCAGGGGTGGCTTGGGCGCTCTGGCCCAGCACGGAGAGACCCGGATGGCGCTGCTGCCCCAGTACTGCGGGCCTGGGGAGTGACCCGGAAGGGAGCTGGGTCTGACTTCCACCCCCCAGCACTGTGTCTTCCATGGCACAGCTGTGGACTCCAGTCCCCACCCCCTGCTGTCAGCAACGTGGCTCTGCTGAGGGGTGGGGGACATGGAGCAGCCCACTGTGACCCCCTGGGCCTCTGGCTGTTCGCTTCAGTTAAAGGGGAAGAGACCCAGGAAGTGTTAGGAGTCAAGTGTACGGGAGGTGCAATCACAGACGGCTTTCTGGAGGAGGTGGCACTTGAGCCAGGTCCTGTAAAGGGACAGGCAGCCAGGTCGGGAGAATGAAGGCAGCGTGAGAGGCCGACGCGTCCAGCCCCAGGGGTGCTTCTTCCAGGTGACACCCCGGTAGCCACCGCCAAGAACATGCCTGGGGACAGCGCAGATCTGTTTGGGGACAGCGCGGCAGAGGACAGCGGTGCGGCCAACGGGGCCTGTGGCCCACGGTCATCATCAGGGAGCAGGAGCACCGCATCGACCTGCACATGATCCGGCCGCACATGAAGGTGGTCACCCACAGAGGTTAGGCCCCCCGGGTACTCGTGGTCAACCATGGAGGTTAGGCCACCCCGTTACCACGTGGTCACCCACAGAGGTGAGACCCTACCCTGGTACCCGCGGTTGCCCACAGAGTTCAGACCCCCCCCCGGGTACCCGTGGTCACCCACGGAGGTGAGGCCCCCCAGTTATCACGTGGTCACCCACGGAGGTGAGGCCCCCCGTTACCTGTGGTCACCCATGGAGGGGAGGCCCCCCATACCAGTGCTTACCCACAGAGGTCAGACCCCCCCCCAGTATCCGTGGTCACCCACGGAGGGGAGATTCCCCCCATACCAATGCTCACCCATGGGGGTGAGGCCCCCCAGTTATCATGTGGTCACCCACAGAGGTCAGACGCCCCCCCGGGTACCTGTGGTCACCCACGGAGGTGAGACCCCCCCCCTCCCTGGGTACCCGTGATCACCCACGGAGGTGAGACCCCCCCCCCGGGCACCCATGGTCATCCTGGAGGTCGGACCCCCTGCTGGGCCCGGAAGACCCTCCGTGCCCCTGCGTGGTTCAGAGCCCAGCGACGGCCGCCCTCACAGGCTACCACAGCGAGGGCCTCAACGCCATCATCGTCTATGCCGCCAGCTTCCTCCAGGACAGCAGCTGCCCAGACTACCACTATGTCCTGGAGAACCTCTTCCTGTGAGCGGGCGGGGAGGGGCCAGGAGGGCAGGGTGGGCTGGAGGCAGGGCAGGCGGGGGGCGGGGAGGGGCCAGGACGGGCAGGGCGGGGAGGGGCCAGGACGGGCAGGGCGGGCAGGAGGCGGGGCGGGGAGGGTGGGCGGGAGGCGGGGCAGGCGGGAAGCCGGGCAGGAGGCGGGGCGGGCGGGGACCTCCCAGGCTCCCCCTGCTGGCCCACTCTGGGCCTTCCCTGGGCGCCGGGGCTCCGCAGCCGCCACACCACACACGTCCATCACCAACACCATCAACACCATCATCATCACCACGAATACCGTGAACACCATCACCGTCACCATAGCCATCGCCAGACCGGTCCTGCGGGGGCACGAGGGGCTGCAACACGGCCCCCGCCCCTCCCCAGAGCTCTGCGGCCCCTCCCCACAGCCCGCGGCCCCTCCCCAGCGCCCCCGGCCCCCTCTCAGAGCCCCGCGCCCCCTCCAGAGCCCCCGCCCCTCCCCAGCGCCCCCGGCCCCCTCTCAGAGCCCTGCGCCCCCTCCAGAGCCCCCCGCCCCTCCCCAGAGCCCCCCAGCCCCTCCCCAGCGCCCCGCGCCCCCTCCTCAGAGCCCCGCGCCCCCTCCCCAGAGCCCCCCGCTCCTCCCCAGAGCCCTGCGGCCCCCTCCCCAGCGCCCCGCGCCCCCTCCTCAGAGTCCCCGGCCCCCTCCCCAGAGCCCCCTCCAGAGTCCACGACCCCGCCTTGAGCCCCGCGCCCCCTTCCCAGAGCCCCCCGCCCTTCCTCAGCCCGCGGCCCCTCCCCAGCGCCCCGCGCCCCCTCCTCAGAGCCCCGCGCCCCCTCCCCAGAGCTCCCGGCCCCCTCTCAGAGCCCCGCGCCCCCTCCAGAGCCCTGCGGCCCCCTCCCCAGCGCCCCGCGCCCCCTCCCCAGAGCCCCTCGCCCTCCCCACAGCCCGCGGCCCCTCCTCAGAGTCCCCGGCCCCCTCCCCAGAGCCCCCCAGCCCCTCCCCAGCGCCCGCGGCCCCCTCCCCGAAGCCCCCGCCCCTCACCAGGGCACGCGGCCCCCTCATCGGAGTCCCCCGCCCCTCCCCAGCGCCCGCGGCCCCTCCCCAGCGCCCCGCGCCCCCTCCTCAGAGTCCCCGGCCCCCTCCCCAGAGCTCGCGGCCCCCTCCTCAGAGCCCCACAACCCCCTCCCCAGAGCCCCCGCCCCTCCCCAGCGCCCGCGCCCCCTCCCCAGAGTCCGTGGCCCCCTCCTCAGAGACCCCCCAACCCCTCCCCAGCGCCCGCGCCCCCTCCCCAGAGCTCCCCGCCCCTCCCCAGCGCCCCCTCCTCCGAGCCCCGCGCCTCGCCCGAGCGGGGACCCCCGGATCCCCGAGGCCCGCGGGGGAGGCCCTGGCCGGGCCGGGCGCGGCCGCCCGGACCCCGACCCGCTGCCCCGCGCAGTTCCGTCGTCGGCAGCCTGGAGTCCTGGTGGCCGAGGACTGCGGGATCCTGTACCTGAAGGGCGCCAGCCCAGCGCAGGATGCCGGCCTCGGCGGCTCAGGAAGCTGCCAGAGGACAGACAGGAGGCGCGGGCGCGGGCGCGGGCGCGGGCGGCTCTGCGCTCGGCCCACCCGGCCCCTCAGCTGCCCTTGGCTTGTGGACGCGGCCCCCACGCCGCCCCTGCCGCCCTAAAATCTGTTTCTGGCCACCGCCTACCAAATCTGCTTTCTGTTCATCTCTGCCTCCTCAATTTCTAGCAGGTGGAGAAATGGGAGCTGGAAAACCTTCCGGGTCTGTTCTCTCCTGAGTTTTTTCTTTGGCTGTCCCAGCTGTTAGCATGGAGCCTTGCTCACCAACAGAAAACTCCCTTTTATGAAAATGCTAGCATGTAACTAAGTGGTTTATGCATTTTAGGATTTTCTGTCAGTTTTATAATTTTTTTGAAGAACGAATGATCTGTTTAATCATGGGAAACTATTGTTTCATAACTAAACTTTGAAATATGTATTTTGAGAACTTATATTTATATTTAATATATATTATATATTATATTGGCATTAATTAGCATTTTAAGTTTCTTTAGTAAAAGTATTTTTATTCTACCAAATCTGCTTTCTGTTCACCTCTGCCTCAATTTCTATAAATGTATAAATTTATATATATAATTTATAAAAAGTATAAATTTTTATAAATGTATACATTTTTAAGGAAAAAACCTGTATTATACTTCATTTATTCTTCTTAGTAATTACATTGATGGCATTATTATGCAAATTAGGAGTGCTTGTGGCTGCAAGATGAGTATTTTTCCTAAAAGAAGAACAAAAGATAATTTAGGGAAGGGGCAAGGGGACATTTTATTTTTGGCTAATATACTGCATAGAACTGTTACACAGCTGTTCAACTGAAACGTTGCTTTGCAATCTCCATTATTTTAGTGTGTTTTTAAAATTTTTTCCAGGAGATTGTAATAAAAATGGAAGAAGAACCAAGTTCTGCTTTGGACTCTGAAGAGACTTTTAATTCTTGAAGGTAGGTAGTAAATACAGAGATATACAATATTACAGGATAATGTATAAGATCCAATATCTTAGAGGATTCTAATCTTAGAATAAATAGCAAGGAACTAGGACTTGTGCTTTTAAAATGTGATAATATTACTGTGATATGTAATTATCTGCAGAAATAATGAGTATCAGAAAATGTAATAACCCAAATTCTTGTAAATGAGCTTACATCAGATATCTGTTGCTCTCCTATCCTACAGCACACTAATTAGAACAAATGTACATGTAGTATTAACCTTTATTATAATTTGTTTTTTTGTTTTTCCCATATGTCTTTTACAGTACTAAAGACTTCTTTCGGAGTACCTACGAAAGGTTAAAATGCAAATGTGATTGAATTAAGAGCTGTTTGTTAATGCCCTTTTAGGGCTCTTCAGCCAATAGGGCTGTTACAGCTCAAACAGGAAAGGATTCAGTTGGCAGGCCAACACTGCTGTCAAATAGTATTACAGTATTTAAAGTGTGAAATTAATATTTTTCTACCCAGTAGGCAGTAGCTCTCATAATGTAATAAGCTTAATTGTGAATTTGGCACTTGGGTTAAATGTAGCATTCATAGAAGCACAGTGCTGGTGTATATTTTCTTATTAATATTAATAGACAAAACCTAGAAAAATGTAGCAGTGTCACATTAAAATAGCCACAGAATTATTAGTAAAATTTGCTTCAGAAGATTAAAATTATTTTTCTGTTGCCATTATAGCTCTTTTAAACTAGCTAGTAACAGGTTATTAAAAATATATAAATTTTCCAGTGTTCAGAAGTCCTTTTGTGTAACAACTATTTAAACTGCCTCAGAAATCCTAACCTTTCTTCATGATCGGATAGCTCAGGCCTTAAGCCTACCACTGACATACTAGAGCTTATGTCTAGGGTAACGAGCTAGTTTCTCATCTGTAAAAAGGGCATTATATTGTCTGATCTGCTTCCTTCCCACAACTTTTAAATACGGGGTAAAACATGTAAAACAAAGCCTCTTGAAAATCTAAATGCAGGGCCTGTTCCGTGGCTCACTAGGCTAATCCTCCGCCTGTGGCGCTGGCACCCCGGGTTCTAGTCCCTGTTGGGGCGCCAATTCTGTCCCAGTTATTCCTCTTCCAGCTCTCTGCTGTGGCCCAGGAAGGCAGTGGAGGATGGCCCAAGTGCTTGGGCTCTGCACCCACATAGGAGACCAGGAGGGAGCACCTGGCTCCTGGCTTTGGACTGGCGCAGTGTGCTGGCCTTAGCAGCCATTTTGGGGGGTGAACCAATGGAAGGAAGACCCTAACTCTGCCTGTCAAAAAAAAAAAAAAAAAAAAAAAAGAAGTGATATCTGGAACTATAACAAATAAATTATGGAACTTAAATCTATGGACACTAACTACAGCTTCATATGTCTAATACTCACAGATTTATTTTTATGGCCTATGAGGTTTTACAATGATTTATATTTCTTAGTGGTTTTCTTCATTGATTCAGAGAGGTAGAAAACAAATGGATTTAACTCCTGAGACACTTGTATGGGGTTATATGATGCCTGAATGGTTTTAGGCCACATCTTGTTTTGGAAGTGTTGGTTTAAATTTAAGTATTTGGCTTCCAACTCATTTGCAGTGATGTGTTATGAGAATATATTACTAGTTTTATGCAGTACATCTTACAGGTTTTATAGACCAATGTTATATGTTTTTTGTCAAGTTACATGTGAGAGAAAACTGCCAGATGTGAAAGAAGAGAGAGTTTCCTGTGTGTGCTGCAGTGGATGTTTAACTTAGGGAATGGAGCACACATGGCCACATGGTGGAAGGAATGTTGTTTCTCCATCCTCCACCCCCTTCCCAAGGGCAACTGACCTCCTTGCCAAAAGAGGCGAGCCCTTGCCAGCCCATATGACTACAGACTATTACATTAATCTGTCTAGCTGCAGTACCAGCTGCTTGCATGTTTTTAGTTATCTTATTAGATGGTATAACAGTGACCTATGAAATTAATTGAAGGTGAACATTGTTAACTTCCCTTTTATTACCCTATGTTTCCCCAAATCTTTTTGATTAGATTATAACTTTCTACAAAAGTTCCTAGGAAGTCTGTTTGGTTTTTGATTCATGTAATTTTTTAAAGGTCTTTAAAGTATAATGTCATACTGCACAGTATAGAAAATAATTTAATTTTTGTCTCATTTATTGATAGATTTTAGTCTGTTTATATAGTTGAAAAGCCATAGTAAACTTACCTTATTAGACAATTAAGTTAGATTGAACTCAGACCAATTATTTGGTATTCTCTGAGAAACTCAAAATACTCCTTTATCTTGGCATTGCAGAAATGGCATAGTATAGAATGCGAATTATTGTATCTTGCTTTAAAATAAATTTTAAATCATATTTACCTCTTCTCTAGATTCATATATATGGTAGTTTATCACCAAGTTTACTCTATTTTTTAATTTAATTTAACTTGGCATCATTGATGAGTATATTTTCCCAAGCTGTGCTGTTAGGAAAAAATGTATTATCCTCTGATTTTTGACAAAGGGATAATTTTGAAGTAATAATCTTTAAATGTGATGTTGACTTTAAGAGACACACAAAATAATAAAAACTAATGATAATCAATTATAAGTCTTAGCCAGTGTTCTATTATAATAATTTAGCTAGGGACCCTGATGCTGAATCTAAGAAAATAAAAAAGTTTCTGAATGCAAGAAAATCACAAAATACTTCTTTGTGTCTTTAGATAATAAATCCTACCATTGATATAGTAGGGTGACTGGAGACTTAATTCTTAAGACATGATGTTTGTGACTCCTGTTTTTTTTTAATGTATTCATACTTTCTGACAGGTGTTTTACTCTGAAGAAATACTAATTTCATATTCCAAAAGAATTTTAATTGAAGAATAAAAGGAATGTTTCTATATATATTTTTATATATATAATATATATTTTTTAAGGAAAGACAGTAAAAGTTACTTGGCTTCAAATAGTGGTGGTCTAATTTCTTATATTGAAGAGAGCTTCCAAAATCACTTCCCTTTCTCAACATGTTATGTTCTCTATATCACTGAGTCAGAGACTACCTTGGTAAAATGTTTTTTATTATTATTCTATTAAAATATTTTTGATTAGCATGCAATACTGTCGCTCCCCCATTCGCGGAGGAATGACACTGGACTCTGCGCTGTTCTTTTGTCTGCTCGGCCCTTCCCGGGTTTGCTGCCAGTCCCCCACTCGCGGAGGAACGACGCCATCCCGGGTTAGCTGCCGGCCCCTCCACCTCCGTGGAGGGGCGGCACCCCCCCGCCGCTTTCCCCGCTTCCGCGGAGGAGCGGCACACCGCCGGCCGGCTCTCTCGGGGGCTGCTCAGATGTTCCTCAGGTGTTCCCTCAGATGTTCCTGGTGCATGTTGTCTCTCTCCTCCTTTATAGTCCTCTTCCACCAATCCCAACTCTGCTACCCACACGCACGCTGCTCTCCTCCTCCAATCAGGAGCAGGATCAGCTCCTGCAGCTTATCAGTCAAACCGATGAGGCAGCTGCGTAGTTGTTTGCTCCTCCCCAGTGCCATATTGTGGGAGAGCAGATGCATAGAATTAGTCCTAGTTCCAGTAATTTAGTCTAGTCTCAGTTGCTCCCTACACAATACTTTATGGTACAGTATTTCACTACATATACAAAGCATACCTGAAACCAGGAAATAGCTTTTCTATGTCCTCAGCTTATCTGTGTTCTGGTAGCTACTAGTTGCTCTCTTCCGGTTCTTTGTGCAGTGTATAACACATTATTGTGAGCTATAGTGGAACAGGAGCACTGTGCTGTGAACACTGGAACCAGTGCCTTCTGTCTGTGTTTGGTGCCTGTTACCCAGTCTCCTTCCATTCTCTCTCGCCATACCCTTCCCAACCTCATTGTGGTTTTGATTTACATGTCCCTGAAGGCTAGTGATATTGAACATTTCTTCATGCTTTTGTTTTCTTTTGTGTTTCCTCTCCAGAGAAATATCTATTCAGATTCTTTGTCTGTTTGTTAACTGGATTGTTCCGTTTTTGTGGTGTTTGGGGTTCTGTACATGTTCTGAGTCATAGTCCTTTGTTAGATGCACAGCTTGTAACTGTTTTCTGTCAGCTGTGATTTGTTCCTTTTGCTGTACAGAAGCTTCTTAGTTTGGGATGATCACATTTGTCTGTTTCTCCTTTCCTCTCTGTGCTCTTGGGGTCTTTTTTTTTTAAAAAAATTAAGGTTTGCCAATGTTTTCCCCCAGGGGTTTCATAATTTCAGGTCTTACATTTATGTCTCTTCCATTATGAGTTGATTTTAGATTATGGTGAGAGGCATGGGATGACATTTTGGATTCTGGGTATGGATATTTTATTTTAAAGATTTATTTATTTTTACTTGAAATGCAGAGTTATAGAGAGGCAGAGGCAGAGGGAGAGAGAGGTCTTTCATCTGCTGGTTCACTTCCCAGATGGCCACAATGGCCAGAGCTGCACCGATCCAAAGCCAGGAGCCAGGAGCTTCTTCCAGGTCTCCCACATGGGTGTAGGGGCCCAAGAACTTGGGCCATCTTCTACTGCTTTTCCAGGCCACAGGAGAGAGCTGGATCAGAAGTACAGCAGCCAGGACTGGAACCAGTGCCCATATGGGATGCCAGCATTGCAGGTGGTGGCACTGCTAAGCCACAGTGCGGCCCCGTGGGTATGGATATTTAGGTTTAGGTTTCCCAGCACCACTTATGTAAGAGACTGTCCTTTCTCTGGTATGAGTTTTATCAGATTTATCAAAGAGCAATTGGCTGTAGGTATGTAGATTAATTTTTGAGATCTCTATTTTGTTCCAATAGTCTGTATGTTTTTATGCTGATACCATACTCTTTTGATTACAGTAACTCTATAATATGTCTTGAAATCTAATGTTGTGATGCCTCCAACTTTGTTGTTCAAGATATCTTTATCTATTTGAGTTCTTTTAAAGTCCTTCTATATGAATTTTAGGATTGTTTTTTCTAGTTCTGTGAATGATGTCTATCATTTTGGTTGTAATTACATTGAAGCTGTGAATTGCTTCAGGTATCATGGACTTCTACTAGTATTAATTTTTCTAATCTGCATACAGAGAACTTTGTGGGTTTTTTTTTTGTCTTCTTCACATTCTTTCATCAGTGCTTTGCAATTTTTATTGTAAATGTCTTTCACGTCCTTGGTTAAATTTTATTCTGGGTGATGGGAGGGCAGATCTTGGCCTCACAGTTAAACTGTTAAGACACTCGTGTCCCATTTGGAGTGCCTGGGTTCAATACCCGATTTCACTACTTACTCCAGCTTCCTGCTACTCCAGACCCTCAGAGGCAATGGTAATGACTCAAGTAATTTGCCTTCCATTTCTGGGACCTGGGTTGAGTCCTTGGATTTTAGGCCTGACCTAACCCTTTCTGTTGTGGCATTTAGAGATTGAACCAGCAAATGGGAGCTGCCTGTCTCTGTCTGTGTCTCTCTCTCAAATAAATTTTTAAAAATTAAAGCTTATTTCAAGATATTTCATTTTTCTATAACTATTGCTAATAGGATTGCTCTTAATTTCTCTCTTAGTGAGCCCATTATTGATGATAAAAATACTGCTATTTTTAGGTCTCAATTTTGTTTCCTGCAGCTTTACTGAATTAATTAATCAGTTCTGATAGTTTCTTGGTGGAGTCTACATTACTCTGTATAAAGAGTTACATCATCTGCAAATAGGGATACTTCAACTTCTTTCAACTTCTTCCTTTCTTTCTTTCTTTTTTTTTTGCACAGGCAGTTAGACAGTGAGAGAGAGAGACAGAAAGGTCTTCCTTCCGTTGGTTCACCCCCCAAAATGGCCACCATGGCTGGCGCGCCGTGCCGATCCAAAGCCAGGAGCCAGGTGCTTCCTCCTGGTCTCCCATGTGGGTGCAGGGCCCAAGTACTTGGGCCATCCTCCACTGCCTTCCCGGGCCACAGCAAAGAGCTGGACTGGAAGAGGAGCAACCAGGACAGAATCTGGTGCCCCGACTGGGTCTTGAACCCGGGGTGCCAGCGCCGCAGATGGAAGATCTTAGAAAAAAAACATCAGAGGCCGGCGCCGCGGCTCACTAGGCTAATCCTCCTCCTTGCGGCGCCGGCACACCGGGTTCTAGTCCCGGTCGGGGAACTGGATTCTGTCCCGGTTGCCCCTCTTCCAGGCCAGCTCTCTGCTGTGGCCAGGGAGTGCAGTGGAGGATGGCCCAGGTGCTTGGGCCCTGCACCCCATGGGAGACCAGGAGAAGCACCTGGCTCCTGCCGTCGGATCAGCACTGTGCACCCGCCGCAGTGCGCCAGCCGTGGCGGCCATTGGAGGGTGAACCAACGGCAAAGGAAGACCTTTCTGTCTGTCTCTCTCTCTCACTGTCCACTCTGCCTGTCAAAAAATTAAAAAAATAAAAAATGAAAAAAAATGCAGACATCTTTTGAAAAAAAAAGAAAAGAAAAAAAGATCAGAGCCAAAGCAAATAGAAAAATTTTTTCTTTTTTTTTCTTTTTTTTTTTAATTGAGAGGCTGGTGTTGTGGCATAGCTGGTAAAATGACTACCTGCAATGCCAGCATCCTGTATAGGCACCAGTTCAAGTTCTGGCTGTCCCGCTTCCAATCTAGCTCCCTAATGCACCTGGGAGAGCAGTGGAAGGAGTCCAAAGTGCTTGGACCCCAGAATCCATGTGGAAGACTCAGAAGATCCTGGATCCTGACTTCGGTCTGGCCCAACCCTAGTCCTTTATGTTCGGTTCGGGAGTGAACCAGCAGATGAAAGATATCTCTTTCTGTCTCTTCCTCCTCTGTGTACAACTCTGCTGTCCAAATAAATAACACAAATAAAAAAAATTAAAAAGTGATTGATTTATTTGAAAGGCAGAGTGACAGGAGGGAAAGGGGGGAGGGAGGGAGAGAGAGCTTTCACCTGGTGGTTTCACAAATGGCCACATCCAGGTCTGGGTCAGGCCAAAGCCAGGAGCCAAGAACTCCATCCTGGTTTTACACATGGGTGGCAGAGGCTCA